AATATAACTCCTCCCTCCTTAAGTGATTGCAAATTGGGATTGACTAACAATGTTGGGCAATTTAATCTGCACCTCAGTTTTAGTTTTACTACATTTTCCTTTAAAATATAGAATAAGAATAATTGTTATAAAAATAGAACTTAATACTATGATTATAATAAAGCTGGACACATTATTTGTTTTAAAATTCAACACTTTCAATGGGTCAGTCTTTAATTTGTTTGCTTCTTTAATCACTGATTGAAGAGCGTCATGGTCGACTGCTTTTAGTCTTACAGTTGTGGTATTCTCTAGAAGTTCAGGAATGTCGATGATGGGTAATTCTAGTACTAATTTGAAGTTCTCATGCGTGTCTTCCAAAAATGTTCGATTGTTAATTGTTATTGAGCATTTAGCTTTGGATATTACGATTAGACTGGAAATGATTTCCATGTATTTCTTCTGGTCACATTGCAGTCTTGCTGTCACATGTCGTTTTGGAATAAACAATATTTGATTATTGGGTATTTCTTCAACTGTCGATTCTTCGTATTGAATTTTCGTGAATGGGCATAATTGTTGTTCACTAGATACAATGTCGTGAACACAGTGCTCATCTTGTTTCAATAGTTCCATTTTGCACAAATAAATGTTTTCAATATTTGGATATTTTTGTAAAGCATTGTAATACCTGTCTGTGGTAAGTAAAAGGTAAGGAAACTTAACACTAATTGTATAACTTTGGATAGGTATAGGAAATAATTTATACAATATAAAAGGTTTAGGACTAATTATTGGTGTGAATATAGTAAATATAATTAGTTCCTTTTGAATTATTACATGAGAGGACATTGTCTCATAGTATTTACCAACGTTGTCAAACGGTATTTGTTGACTGGCGGGTATATTTTTCAAGATCAAGTTCAATTCATCATGCTGCAGTATTGTATAGTGCGTTATGCTTGCGTAAGCAAAACTTATTGCGTTATGAATGTGGTTAATTAACTCGCGTAATTAATTACTCTGCATATTAATGTTTTCTAAAATTAGATTCATCATTAAGATAGTTTAAATATTTTAATTATCCGTCGAAATATTTCTTATATTATCTGAAATTATTATCTGATTATTTGATATTAGAAAATTGATCATGGAATGTTTTCGTAACTTGTTTAAGTACGTTAGTTTGGTCTTTTAGATTTTTATCGATAGTTTGCTGATTCTTATTTAATGTTTGAATGTAAGAATCATATCTATCGCCGTCATTCGCATCTGATGTTCCATACAGCCATTTTTGTGCTCTATCCATGAAATTGAATACTCCACGTTTATTTCGATCGTGTGATAAATGTTTTACAAATTTCTTTAATGTATTGATACTGATACGTGATTGACTAGTTTCAGTATTTATTTGTAATAAAGTAACAATTTTGTCTTTATTAGACTATTTGGTTAGATTTAAAGTATAGTTTAAATTCTTTGAAGTTATTTCGAGAGTTTTAATACTTTTTCCAATAAGCGTATTACTTATATAATAACATGCAGTGTTATGTTGTGTTGTGATATAATTGGTTCCTATAGAAATCGGTAAAATAGGATTTCTTAATGGAGTTAACGTGTAGGCGTTACTGGAAATTCCTATAAGGAGGATGATGAAAGCTGCCAGGAACATTTTGGTTTTTAAGGCACGATGCTTGAAACTGTATCACTTTAACTTTGTACGTTGTGTCTTGTTGCTTCTTTTTTTCAGTTAATTTTTACAAAAAGTGGAACGAACTGGACTAAACTTTTTTTCGAAAATTCTTGTTTTTAAAAACTATTTATTTAATTAAAAACTAAGAAGCTACAACAAAAAATACTAGATTCTAAATTGCTGCAACGAAAGCCGAAAACAAAAGAATCTTTGATCCTAATTGCTATAGTCTAAGCTACAATACAAGAGAATGAGGAGAGAAGGCTCTGCGCGTCGTATTTATATTAAAATACTGCAGACGGTGTAATCGTGGGGGCGAAACCTTGATATGGCGGTACTTTTCCAGGCAGTATCGCTTACTCAGCATCTTTATAATATCGTGGGCTTTTACAGTGGCATACGCTTATATTTAACATTGAAAAGGGGTAGTATAATAATAACATAGGGTTTTGAATGTGTTTATAATAATTTTTATATGTAAGATAAACAGATAGAGAATTGTTTACTTAAGAAAGAGTTTTCAATTCTTTGTCTTTTGATGTTGAGTCAGTTCCTATAGTTAGTTCTTTGAGTTCACTTGCTATGCTTTCCACGCTGTGTTCGATATAATAAATATATTGAATATTGATAATTAACTCTTTTATTTCTTAGTCCATTTCCCAATACTGAACATCGTGATTCAATATTTTGTTTTATTTGTAATGTTTCCACTTTCCGTAGCTTTTTTGAGTTAATATCTTTCTTTGTATTATGTTTGGTATCACAAAGCAAACAAAATTGTTTGAAGTCAAAAACTAATTCAGATTTGCTTCTAGTTTTTCGTTCTTGTGAGGAACTTTCTGGCTTTTTATTATGTTCGGCGGATTTCACGGAAGTTTCACGTGTATAATTCTTTCTGCATTCAACATATAGTACAACTTTCATTTTTGATCGTAGTTTTTGTCTCAAGCCCGTCCCTGTATCGTTTACTGCACTCAATGATCCTTGTGATACCTTTTGTTCTAAGCTTAACTGTCGCTGCGATGCCCAATGCCGACTGGCATATCAAACATGTGTCTGACATAACTACAATCTACAGCAAAAAAGGAATAATTATTATTACAACAAAAAAAAAATGCATGGAGCTAAACCTAATTTACCTAGTTACAATAATCCTAAACGCTCTTGCTAGAATAGGCGTCCGCCAGGCTGTCAAGAATCGATGTCGAATATCCTCGAATCTAGCGAATTATTCTACTATAATCGAGAAATAACATTATCGTGTGTGTTCTAGATTTTACAGGAATAGATTTAGGGATATATATGGACGGGTTTTAGCTTGTAAGTTAAGTTTCAGTTCGACTGTGATACGATTTAAATAGTGATTTTAAAAGAGTTTAATTGTTGAGTTAGTTATTAAAGTAATTAGTGTCAGAGTGTATTGTTAAGTGGAATAAATTATTGCTGTGTTAATTGGACTTTGATTTTTGGAATAAACGAAACGAACCCAAGATTTCTGTCAGGCAACCCAAAGCCGTGACAGTATGTTTTTAAGTATAATGGAAACAAAAAATCTACTCAAAACTTTCATTTATACAAAATAAAAATTAATAATTCTAGCTGCTTATATTTTGGAAATTCTGAGAAATAATCTTAATTTTTTCTGAATGAACAACACAAAGGACATGGCACTAAATATTAGAATCCTGGTGATCGGTCGATTTTTTTAAAACTGCAGCTTGTTATTCTATACCTGAAAACAAGCATTTTTGGTTATGGTCACTTCTTTGTACGAGTATGGGATGTTCAAGAAAATTAAGTCCATAGTTTTTATATGGAATATTTTGTTTGAAGCATAAACTATGTTATCTGATCTGTTATGCATTTTTGCAACTTATGCATTAAAGACAAAGATATTTATGTAGTTAAGAGCAAAAATTATTATACAGGGTGTCTCAACAATTTTATTTTAAACTAAACTACACTCTAAAAAAAGCCAATAACCAAAATAACGGTTAAAAAAATTGAGTTTTAAGTATTTATATCAAATGTTTGATGTATCGCTTTAGTGATTTTGAATATGTATTGGTCTGTTGTATTAACAACACAGTTGGGGCCAGTTTCACAAACAGTGATCCCCGCAAATATGAGTCCGATATCCGATAACCAGTGCAGGTTACCACAAGGTTACCACCAATTGTGAAACTGGGCCTATATGGCATATTTTTGTATTTGTTGATCTATTTCTACAGTCTTAAATCCAAATCGTTTCCGAGGAATTGCAGCTACTTCAAATAATCTCTGGCGAGCATTGTTACAATGTTTATGGTTATTATTGATATTTTAGGTAATTATAGTTTTGTAGCAGTTGATTTGGTTAATGGCTTTCTTTAGAGAGTAGTTTGGTTAAAAATATAATTTTTGAGACACCCTTTATAATAATTTTTGTCCTTAACTACATAAATAGCTTTGTCTTAAATGTATAAGTTGCAAGATCACATAACAGATCAGTTAAACATAAGTTTATGCTTCAAAGGAAATATTTCATATAAAAACTTTGAACTCAATTTTCTGGGACATCCCATACTCGTACAAAGAAGTGACCATAAGCAAAAATGCTTGTTTTCAGGAATAGAATAACATGCTGCAGTTATAAAAAAAACGACCGATCACCAGGATTCTAATATTTAGTGCCATGTCCTTTGCATTCATATTTTTTCAAAAATACCGCGAAATACAAAATAAAATCAATAAAGCTCGTTAAAATATCAAAAAAAAACCACACGTAAAATTTACGTGGGTTTAGTATTCTACCACTTAATACTTTATAGTAATTTGAAAGAATAAACCCTTTCTAACTAAGAACTAAGAAAGCGTGATCGATCACACATTGAGCTAATTTAAGTTTTGAGACAAAAAATAATTTTAATTTTGTACTCGTACCTACGTTTTTATCCTAAAAATATTGCTTTTTCGAATTTAATAAAAGAAAATCAAATATTTTTGTATTTTAGCCTCAGAATTGGCCAGTTCTCCTCATAGGATTCATGGGGACTTTCTGCTATAAGGCCCATGGTATATGGAGAAGATCCTGAGAAAATCAGCTTGTCTCAAATATGTTTGAGGTTGGGGTCTAATTCGTCTTAATTTTACTGGCCCAATTTTGTTCTTTTTCTTGATGATGATGACGCCCCATGTAGGAAATCGCCCGCCGTAATTTCAAAATTCAGTCCGTCCCTGATTAAACATATAGGTATTGACAAGTCTAATAATCATTAACAAATCAAATCAAAGCCTTATAACAATACAATATAGCACACGCTTGAAGGCATTTTATTGTATTCGAGATAAAAAGGCTCTCAGATAAATCCGGCATGTCCGGAATACGATACGATGTCGTCTATAAATATGTCTTAGTAGTCAATTTGAGTTAAGTTTTAAATAAGAAAGTTGTTGAAGTGGGTTTAAATACTATATTTGGTTTGTACATTTCGATAAGTTATAATATGTAAATTTCATAAAGTCAATTTGTTCAATAATAGTTGCTACTGTCAATAGAGTTTTAATGAAGCCGGAGTCCCGGAAAGATTGGTACCTATAACACATTCGATTTAAAAACTTTTATTTTTATAACACTAACATTTAGTTTAAGCAGATGCGCCACTTTTTTTCGCTCCACTAGGCCTAACCCCCGAAAAAAATGACACAATGACAACCGCAATGCGTGTCCCCCTCGACGATATAGTGGGCAAACAAAAAACACTTAACGCAACGGGAGAGCTTGCACTTGCAATCATTTGTCATCTAATCCTCTCTTCACGCTTTCGGTGTTTGACAAGTAATTTAATCGCTACTGAGCTTGCCAACCCTTCGAAGTATTCAGAGTATATCATATTTTTTTGTGAATGAATCGTGGGGAAGAATGGGGGCGGGAGTAGGTAGGATTTAATAGATGTTTAAATAATTTATTTCGAAAGACCTTATGATAATGCACGTGCAAAAGGAAAATTATGACACGTGCTTTTTTTTATTGTTTTGTTTGTATAGGATATATCAGCCAAACAAAAGCAGTATCTTGCGTAATTATCTATAATAACAATATGATACATTGAAATTCTAGCCTTCATTAGGCCCTGAACTAGTTTATATCAATATTAATCATCTACAAGCGGAGTAAGATAATGATATAGCAAATTAATTTATTCCAGGTTTTAAATAAACTTTCTCATTTAAAGCTGAAGGTGAACATTTTATCGTCAAAATGCTGCCTATCCTAGCTAGACTCACCTTTTATCACTGAATTATTGACGTATCGTGTAAAAGTCATCAATTTTTTGAATTTCGCGCCGAACTACGATTTGAAGTTGTTACCAACATACTTGACAAATGACATTTTTTTACATCATTTACATGGACTCTACTCCTTCCCATTCATAGAGTCTAAATGGTCGGCCTTATCATGCATCCCCCACCTTAAGATGGTCAGATTCGCAATCCATGGTCGGCCATTTAGACTCCACCGACATTATGCAAGCCTGAGAAAGTCGATCCTTCCACATCCTCTCGCCAAGCCAACGAGCCGAACATTAGAGATGTTAGTCAAAACTTTGACTTTCTTTCTCTGTTGCATTTTGTACCTAAGACATCCGTTATCTTTAAATTACAGTGTGGTCCATTTAATTTAAGACAGAGAGAAAGAAAATGGAGACACTGTTTTTTTACTTTGACAACCTTTTGAAGGTTATTTCAAAGTCTTTTTTTGTTTTTGTGACATCAGACTGTCTCAAGTTAAATGGACCACCCGACTCTGTATGAATTGATTCTTATGTTTGTTTTTTTTTTTTTTTACCGTGACAACCAACGCAGAATATTTATTCTTGAGACCTGGACCAGTCTTCTTGTGAGTCCGATTATTTGATTTTTGTCAGTATTGTGCAAATATTACTATAAGCGACAAAGACAGAACATACGTTGATCCTCTGTTTTAAGAATAATGACTGTAGGAATTAATCGGGAGTTTATTAAGATTATTAGTTGACAAGTTCTCACCTATAGGTACCTACTGGTACTACCTAATTGAAGTATGTACCTATGTACTTGATAAGTTTGGGATATTTTGGGTTTAGTATTCGTAAGTTTGAGTTACTTTGAGTTAGTAATGGTAAGTTTAGGTAGGATGTCCCACTGAAGATGGGAATTGAGGTTATCTGCTAAACTCGTAGAGGTAGATTTTTTTAAATTCCACATTCCCGGACCAATTTTTTATGACGAATCAAATGCCGCAATCCGCATGTCTCTATCTTGTTTCGTTTTGGAGATACAGGGTGAAACTTGAAATGTTCAATTTTCAAGGGTAGCCATTATCTAACGTATGAAAAAAAATATATCAAAAAGGTGCAAATTGTATATGACGTAGTTTTTTACGTGGATTTCATTGGCTTACTGGAACTTTTTTCCGAAGTACCGTTCAAGAGATATGACACAAACTTCATCTTTTTTTAATGGGACACCCTGTAAATTTTTACATTTTTAGAATACGCATAAAATTACCTTTCCAATGATATCTAATTTTTCTATATTATTTTGTAAATTGCCAATATTATTATGCTATTTAAAACTTTCTAGAAAAAATAACCCTTGCAAATCACATTGAATATTTGGTTTTATTTTTTGGTGTGAAACTTATAATTTTTTGATATGGGACACCCTGTAAAATAATTGTTTATTAAATCGTGTATTTTTTCCCATTTCAACGATATAGTTATACCCGAGGGGTCAACACCTGAGTGGAAATTTGTACACCTACTGTAAACTGGCCGTTCTAGTCGAGTATTGTCAGGTATTGTCACTTTATTCTAGGTATTGTATGGTATTGTAGGGATTGTCAAATATTGTTAACATATTTTAAGTATTTAGGTAACTGGTACCTTACGGGTACTATGGATGAAACAGCAATTCTTAACCTGTATTGTAAAGCAATTTTTAATACTGTCGGTACTGTTTATGTATTTTCAGAACCAATATTAGTACTGTGAATGTAATAATCTTATTGTCAAGTGTAAATTGTGTGCAAAAATTACTGCTGATGGTTTACTTTTATTGACAGCTTTTGTTTATTAGGTACATAGTCTTTAAACTTTATGCACTATGCATTGGTAAGATGCTAATTTTTCAATCGAATGTGATGAAACTAGGAAGTTTTACATGGCGGACCCCGTATATAAAACGTTTCCTATAACTTATCATATAAGGTGTCTAAAATACCATGGGCCATCTTTGGTAGGTATATCGGAAACAGTAAGAGATACAAGAGCCGTTGAATTAGAAAAAAATTGCCATTTCCGATGGCTATCAGAAATATATTTTCGTTGTTGCCAAATTTCTATTAGTTTCTGAGATACAGGGTGATTTGTTAAAAACACCTAGAACTGTTTTTTCTACAAATCATCCTGGATCTCGGAAACTAATAGAAATTTGGCAACAACGAAAATATATTTTTAATCACCTTCGAAAATGGCAACTTTTTTACCGTTTACGATATACCAATGATGGCCCATGGTATTTTTGACACCCTGTATATTGTTTACTAATTCCTAAACCCGTTTTACCGAAGAGCGGCTCACCACAGTTTTTACCTCGATTTCGGAAATCGCAGGGGACTTCAACGATTTTTAAGGGAATATTTCAGATATTCGAAGCCGTACCACTAAGGATTTCGAGGATTCATTAAATTTATTCGGATTTCGAGTTTTCAGAAGAATTTCAGTTGGGATTTCGAGATTTCTGAAGGATTTTGGTTGGGATTTCAGAGTTTCGTAAGGATTGCGGATAGCATTTCGCTCTTCGCGATTTCGAATGGATTTCGAGATTTCCAAAGGTTTTCGAATGGATTTCAGGATTTCCAAAGGTTTTCGAAGTGATTTCACGAGATTTCGGATGAAAATGTATAGCGATTTCGGGAGTGAGCCGCCCCTCGCGTTTTCTATTTTTACGTATATCTCTACATGTATAAAAATAAGTATTTATTCATGAATTTCTTCACAAGATTAGCTAGGTATTTTTTGAGGCAAATATACAGAAAATTTCAGTACTACCAACTTTCCTTGCCAAAATCAAAAATGAAAACATTGTCTTATCCTCGGTTTAACCCATCGATGATATACACTATAGGATGGCCTATCCTCATAAGGCCTGTGTTTAACAAATCCCCTCCTACCCCCCTCCGCCAAACCATCAGTTGTGACGTAAGCAGCATGGCGTTTCTCGCCTAGACGTAAGCTGTTTGAACAGCTGACGACTTTGTTATGACGTCGGCAATGGTTGAAAACAGTTGAAAACCAATATGGCGGCGATTACCAAAAACGAGGCCTTAGAATGTGTATTCTCCTTGAGTCTAACCTATAGTTGACCCAAATCCAAGCAGCAGTAATGACATTAAATAACCTAATTTTAAATTGTTAGGTAACAAACACCAGCTGGGAATCCAGCCTTCCTATTGGTTGAAACGCCCTACCAGGACCAGTGCCAGTTATGTCATTTTAGGCCTATTCGGGTTTAGAAAAAGTACGGTTCTAGAACGGTCCAAAAGCATCGCACAATTTATTATTAAAATTTTTGATAGTTGAGTCGTTGTCATTTTGTTGATTGATAAACTGTGCGATTGTTTTGAACCGTTCTAGAACCGTCCTTTTTCCAAACCGGAATAGGCCTATTACTGCCGCTTGGATTTGGTTCAACTATAGTTATATAGTAAAATTATTAGAATAATGGATGCACGTCATCAATGACGACGAAATTATTGCCAATTGCAGTTTGTAAGAAATTAAAATTCGTTTTCAACTCATAGCGCATTTTTCCTTTTGTTCAACCCAAGTTAAAAAGATATAGAATGCAGTCGGATCATATGACAGAATCTGCCGATAAACTCGGATTTAGGTTGGCACTCGTGGGTAATTTCGGTCATTGATTTTAACAATTTGAGATTTGTTGTCACTTCTTAACGAGTTGGGGATTGGTTTGGGATTAGGATTCTTGTCAATTTATCAATAAAAATGTCATCTAGGAAAATGACAAAATTTACTAGACATATGGTATGTCAAAGTAAAACGAAGTTGATGCGGCAACATTGCGACATGCCATAACGTCATAGATTTTGATGACGTAGTGCATCCATTATTTTACTAATTTTCCTATAACAAACCACAGCGCCCACACTCCCAAATTCCATCCAAGCACTTTTAAAAACAAACCTCGAAACAAAATATGTATTTCTTTCTGTAGTAACTACATGTAGAAATACACGAATATGTAAAACGGGCTTTATTGTATATTATAAATACTTATGGCCGTTTGCAGCGACCATTTTAAGGAAGCCTTAGCGATAAGTATTCCTCAAATTGACATTTTGACATATGGAGAAACATCGCTTTGAGGAATACTTATTGCTAATAAGGAACCAATCAAAAATAAGACAGCAATTG